GCACACCTTTAATCCCAGCACTTGGGAAGCAGAGGCAGGTGGATCTCTGTGAGCTCAAGGCCAGCCTGGTCTACTTAGAGAGTTCCAGGATAGCTGGGGCTACAGGGAGACCCTGTCTAAGTTTTTTTGTAAAAAAAAAAAAAAAAAAAAAAAAAAATGCCACTATAGGCAGTAAAAACCATGAAGGAGTTCACAAAGGAGTGACAGGCTATATTTGTTCTGTAAGAAATTAACTCTATGGCAATGTGAAGTTGAACAGCAAGACCCAGGAAGAAGCGAGACCAATTAGTAGGCCATTACCAGTGTCTCAACAGGGGGCCATGTGAACTGAGCCAGCGACTAAAGCTGCCTCTTTGAGAAAGTCCTTCGGTTTGTAGAGTATGTAATGCTTTGCAGAGAAAGGAGAGGAACCATAGTCCACATCTGGGTCCAGTTCTAGAAAGCTCATGTTTTAAGCATTTTACATCCTCTTTGGGGGCATCGTCTACTTCCACAATTTGACACATCCATCTGATGCCCCACGTCTTCATTTTCTTCCATTTTGTGCTTTCAGGATCTTGACATTGGCGCCAAGAATGTGAAACTCTATGTCAACAAAAACCTCGTCTTTGATGGTGTGTTAGATAAAGGGAGTGGTGAGGCCCCTGCTGACTGCAATATCCTGGTTGAACAGAAAATTGAGAATGAGAATCCAGAGAAGGCCCTGGACACTGACTGGGAAGAAAGCAGAGATGCCCCCAGAATGGCTGGCATGAACAGAGACAAGAAGCTTGGACTCAGCTGCTCACAGTCAGTGGATATGACAGTTTCCTCACAAGGAGATTTCCTTGGTGAAAGGATGAGTTCTACAAATTTCTGGAAGGACAGTTTGTTCAAGTTGCAAGATGATGTAAGACTACCGGTAGCCTCTGTCTCAGTGGATGATGGACCCAGTGTCCCTTCTTCCTCCCCCACTGGAAAATGTCCTCCTTTGGGCAAGGAGCCCTCTTTAATCCAACAACTGGAAAACCTCACAGGCAGGAGAATCTCTGAGATCCCTGGGAAAACTCCACACTGGTTACAGCCTTCTCCCACAGGCATGGGCAGGAAGCAAGCAGACCAGAAACCCAAACCCCTGTGGCTTAGTCCTGAGAAGCCTCTGGATCAGAAGAACAAGCTCCCATCTGATGATGTCCTCAGTGATGCTCCTGGAGAGATAGAGGCCAAGGAAAAGGGTCCCCGTGAGCAAGGGCGGACCACCAGCTGGAATGTGATTGCTGGGGAGAGACCTCAGAGGGAACCCTCCAAAGCCTGTGGTGATGACTTGGACATGTTTAACCAGCCCCCTACCCGGGAGCGCACTGCTAGTGGGAGGAGGGGCCCAAAGAAGGATGCTGTCAGTGGTAGTGATGGTGATGACCAACCAGCCAGCAAAGGTAAGCTTGGAGAGGCCAACTGACTGCAACTCTCTGTGCCTCCAATTGGTATGAAGCCATTTGGTTTTCTGGTCCCGATTTCGTTATCTACAAAAGAAGGGGCTATTCTCAAGTAGGGGATACAAATCCACTGTCTTAGCCAGAGGCAAGGAGCAAATGAGGGCTAACAGGGCATTCTGCTTGTTAAACTTTTAGACGTGATTGTTGTTGTCTCCAGGATCTGTCCTTTGGCCCATTTTCTTGCAGTACCTGGTTTTTCCAAACTGGACTTCATTCTCCATCTTTGATAAAGACACTGATCCCTGGTAATTCACCCTTTAGTATTAGAGGACAACCCCAGGGTGATGCTGAACATAGCAAACATTTGCCTGGGTGTGGGAAGGGCCACAGGTGAGGATGGTGACCAGCTGCAGGGCATGAGGCCTTTAGAAGGGACAGCTGCCACTCCACATAGCCTTCTTGCTAGAACTCAGGGCTAGTGTGCCAGCTCTGCCCTTTCGTTTTGTCAGGAGAACCCCAAGTACAGAAAAAGTACTTCTTTGCAATTTTGGCAACTTATGGTGATTATTTTTAAACCATTGTGTGTTTAAAATAAAGCACCAGGATTCATGCCTCAAGCCTGTAATCCCAGCTACTCCAGAAGCTGAGGCAGGAGAATTGCAAGTTCAAGACCTTCCTGGGCTACAGAGTGATTTCAAGTCCAGCCTAGTCAATTTAACAAGACCGTGTCTCAAAATAAAAATAAGGTTTAGGGCTGAAGCTTGGTGGCAGAACATTTACCCAGCATATGCAAGACCCTGGGTTTAATCCCTAGTACTGGAGGTCGGGGGGAGCTGCATCTGCTGGCAGGTCTCAGGATGAGAGCTCTGTGGCCTTTGCAAGCGGGTTATCTATAAGGCCATCCTTAGTGAGTAAGGGGGAGGGAAAGTACTGAGGTGGGGGATGCTGTGTGTCTATCCTGAGAAAGTAACGGGGATCAGGGTGGTGGTGCTACCTGTCCATCCTGAGTTAGGGGTTACAGGGTAGGGGGATGCTGCTTGTCCATCCTGAGTGAATGAAGGCTCAGGGTTGGGGCATTGCCTGTCCATCTTGAATGAGCAAAAGTGTAACATGAGAGGATGCTGCCTATCTATCCTGAGTAAGGAAGATAATGTGTGGGGGAATGCTATCTGTTCTTTCTGAATGAGTAAGGAGATAAGATAAGCGGGGGATGCTATCCATCCATCTTGAGTGAATAAGATGGGTATAGGGTGAGGGACTACTGCCCATCTATCCTGAGTGAGGGGCTCAAAGCAGGACCACTGCATGTTTCCATTCCACTCTGGCCCCTGAGAAGCAGTGCTGTGGAGTGCTTTGTATTGAAACCATCTGAATCAATCCAGCTGCATGCAGATCTAGCCTGGTAACCACGGCTCTGTTCTCTGGATCTTGGTATCTATCTGTAAGTTGGGATTGACACCCCTCCCCCTTGTCAAAGTTGTGAGGAACAAACAAGAAAATGACTTTCCTGCAGTAATAGTGCCTGGCACCTGGGGAGTGCTAAGCCAGTAGTAAGCAGGATGTCAGCTTATGTGTCCTGTACCACCTAGCAGACCTGCTAAGCCATGACCACCCTGGCACCTCTAATTTAACCCCTTGCACCCTGTCCCACGAAGCCCCTACTGAGCCTCAGTTTCCTCATCTGTAATAGATGCTGGTCATATCATAGGAATCCAAGGAGGATCAAATAAGATACGTGGGCAGCGTTGACCCAGAGCCTGACAAAGAGGCATGCCCCAATGGTGGCAGCTGCTCCTCCTCCTCCCCTAGCCTATATTGCCTGTGCTCTGATTTTGCCTCTTGCTGGTGTAGCCACATGGGAAGCCCATGCTTGCCCTTCTTAGTGAGTCATCTCTATTTACTGTATCATCGAGTATCTGCTTGGTCCCTCATGTGTCACATAGGATACAGAGCAAATCTCTCAGATTCTGAGCCCTCCCCCACCTAATGCACTGGCTGCCCTCTGGGTCTTTACAGAGTACTGCCATCTGCCTCTCACCTGGACTCCCGAGACTGGGTAGAGGGAGGAGAGCAGGTGCAGGAGGAGGTTAGGAGGCCTCAGAGGGTGTGATTGGCATGGTAGAACCCCTGCATCAGGAGAGTGAAGCAAGAGGATCACACGCCCCAGACCAGCCTCTGCTCCATAGGAAGACCCTGTCTCCAGAAAAACATTGAAATGGCCTAGGGGATATCTCAGTCAACAAAGTGCTTAAGACCCTGAGTTCGAGCCCCAGAACCCACTTAATCCCAGCACTGAGGGAGGCAGAGGCAGGAAGTGTTCTGGGACTGCTGGCCAGCCAGTCTAGTCAAATTGGGAAGGTCTAGGCCAATGAGAGACCCTGTCTCAAAGGAGGTGGACTGCTCCTGAAGACAATTTCCAAGGTTGTCTTCCAGTCTCCACATGCACAAAACCCATGTGTACGTGCACCTGTACACACACAAACATACCTACACCAGGGGGGAAAAAAAACAGAAGCCTGCTGAGTGTGTGAGCCTGGCTCAGGTGACACGCAGTAGGGGAGGAACAGGGGGACAAGCAGCTGCAGGGACTAGACTGGTATCCACTTGCTCTTTGCTAAATGATCCTGAACCCTTTCAACAGCCCCATGTTACAGAAGAAGTGGGGTTTAAGTAACTTTCCTGGGTCACATAGCCAGTGGGGGCTAGCATGGGGCTGGAACCCTGGCTTCATCATCCAGGCCTAAAGCCACTATTCCCTTGGTGCCTATTAGCATAGCGACCAGTGCTCACTGAATGGTTGAGCCTGGCAGCCCATGCTCTAAATAGACACAGAGCCTCTGGGAGTTCTCAGAGATGGGCAATAGTCCAACTGCCCAAGTTCAGAGTCCTCCGTCTCACTTTAATTTCTTGCCAGGCATTTCCTTGCTTGGCTCAGTGACACATTATGCACTGAGCCCTGGAGATTTAATGCTTGTTAAGCCAGTCTTGCTAACAAGGAAACTCACTTAGAAATTGTGTATTATCCATCACCTAGGGCCAAACCCCACAGCCAGAACCTCTAGGAAATGTGATAGTCTAGCCCCTCAAGGTGCTGGTGGGGTAGATAAACTCACAGTGGCTGCAGAGTTCTGCTTTCGCCATTGTGAGCCCACCACTGTGTATGAGAGACAGTGGGAGTCAAATTTATTATAATGCCATCTGCATTCTGGAAGTGTTGGCTTCAAGGGTTCCTCGGCCCCAGAGCATCTCATGAGCCTTTACTGTGAGCAGCAGCAAAGGGGAGTAGGTAGAGAACTCCGGGGACTCTGATGCAGAAGCAGACAGGTGGCATCTTCTCCTTCTCATCTCTCCCCTGCCCCCAGAGTCTGCTACACCTACCATGGCCTTCCCACAGGCCCACCTGACCACCCTTTCCTCATTAGTGTGTTCAGAGACAGTCAGAGACCTCTCAGCTCTGAGAGACCAGGCCCTGGCTCTAGGTCCAGCAACCAGGTCCCAGGGTCTCAAGGGAGCTGATTGGTCCACTTGGGTCAGATGTCCATACCTTGCCCAATCCATGGTATCTGAAGCATAGAAGAAAGGCAGCTCTGCTGTGTCTTCCCTTGTTTGCGCTCTTTCCCTATGTTAGTAGCTGCTCACGCAGACATGACATTGGCACGGGCAGTTTTACAAACTTGAGCTCTGAGATTCATTCTTCATATCCAACTCCACCCAAGAAACTTTTGGCATCAGTGGTCCCTCTAGACTGTGTTGACTGCAGATGGATGCCAGAGCTTTCTGCTGCCCTTCTGGGTTTGGAACGGAGGTTGGAGGCATGGCTGAGGGGGGAGAGCACTTTCCTGGATGTGCAAGGCCCTGGTTTCCATCCTTAGCACTAGGAAAGAGAAAAAAGAAGGAACGTCTTGTCTAGCAGATTTGGGATGGGCTGTACAGTGACAGGATGAGCCTTGATCTCAAGCAGTAGGGAGAGTTTTTTCACAGCAGACAGACAGACATGTGGGCGCCCAGCTGCTGTCACACTCAAGAGGGCCAGGAGAAAGTCCACACCTCTGCTTTTAGACCCATGTGTGTGACTCAGGCAGAAGAGTCTGGAAGACAGGCTCAGAAGAAATGCCAAGTCCCTGCTCTCTGGGCAGACCAAGTTCCTGACATGTGGTGTTTAGTGTCTCCCAGTGCACTTGCAAGCCAACCATCGTTCCTTTCAGGAAGTCAGATCACATGGACCCAAGTGATGACAGCCCATGCAGGAGCTTCTGCCTCCTTCATGCCAGTGCCTGAGAGGGGAGGACGAAGGAAGTGTTGGCGGCAGATGGGAAGAAGGGGGCAGGGAAGGCACAGGAGAGCCAAAAAACAGGAGGGATGTCCTTCAGCCTCCAGGCCTGATCCTGTTCCTGATGGCAGGAACCTGGTATCAGAAGCCTGTTCCTGTACTGCCAACTGCTTTCTAGGGATCTCTGGGTACCTCATGCTATCTGTGCTTGGCACTGGAACAACAGGGAACAAGGCTGAGGTGGCAGAGGCCACTGGAAGGAGGTGGGCATCTGAAGGAAGTATTCCCAGCAGAGGGCACCTCACTACAGAAGACACCTGATGTACCCTCAGACAGATGGGCTGGTGCTTCAGAACAGAAAGGCTGAGGGGGAGGGAAGTGGTGGAACCCAGCCACATCAGGACCCTGTGGGCATGGTGAGCAAAGGTTGTCTTTATCCTCAGTGTTAAACAGATGATGCCAGTGTGAACAGTGTGATAAACCCTGCTGCGGGTTCACGGCCCAGGAGCAATGTGACAGAGTTACACATGACCAAACCTCCTAGGCAGTCACTAGAACTGAAGGACACTGGCAGAACTTGACTTCTGAGATTGGGCAGTGCTTGCATGGGAACCAGGCGTCCCATGGGGGCTGAGAGGGCCAGTTGGAATTGAGACTCCCAGACTTCAGAGCAGGAAAAAGCTGTTGGGGGCTGGGTACCTAGGCTGGGTGTGGTGGACTGGCTGGGCACACCAGTGCTCCTGGAACTCTGGGGCTGAGGCAAGAAGATCACAAGTTAGTGGACTAGTATATCTCCTAAGTCACTGGGAGGGAGAGTTATCAAATGGAAGAGATTTGTCAAGCATGAAATGAAGACTAACAGAAGACTGGGGAGTCATTGCCACCTGCAGAAAGCTGTGTCAGTGGAGAGCTCTGAGAATAGTAGGTGTCTTAGACATTCAAAGGGCAGAAAACCACCAGGGTTTTGCATTCAGGCATGGCTCGATCCAGGAGCTCAGATAAGGTTTTTCTCTGTATCTCTTGGCTCTAGTCCCCCAGTTTGGCATCATTTTTAGGAAGGGTTCCAACAGTGTGGGGAAATATGGGCCCTGACTTCACCCTATCTCCCATCAATCTGGCTCAGCCAGTGGACTGGATGGCCTCCTGAGGTCAGCATTGGAAGGCTGTTGGTGGTGGTCACCTAGTGTGGTTGGCCTGAAAGTAGGAGGGGCAGGGGCGCATATCCAGAAGACAGAGACTTGTTCCCAAAAGAAGGAGAGGCTATTGGATATTGAGAGGCCATTGGAGCAGGAAGCAGAGGGTCTGCAGGAGAGGAGAAGGATAGGTGGGAGCATGCTTCTGTATCTGAAACCGTCCCTTTTCTAGGCAGGAGAGATTTGTGCATGTCTGCAAGCAGAGCGACAGGAAACACTGGGGGAAGCAGTGGTAGAAGATTCTAGAGAGAGGAGATAATTGATGGTGCCAAGCCCTCTAGGAGACAGGCAGGAAATGGAGTGCAGGTGCTTTCGGACATGAAAAGAAGAAACGTAGAGTGGCAGTGCTGCCAGCTGCTGTCTGTGCAGACACCCTTGGACGGTCCTTGGCTGTGTGCTGCCTGGATGGGCCAATGCCTGGTGTTCACCCTGGGTTTGTAGATTTGAGAAGGGCCTCCAGATCCTCCCTCAGAGGATTGGTCTGTGACCTCCATGTGCGCAGGATTCAGGCTTTAGCCACATGTGGGAGAGGACAGATGCCTTACCCTTTAATACACCTGCTGAGGTTGCCCAGGCTAGCCTTGAACTTGTGATCTTCCTGCTTCTACCTCCCTAGTGCTGGGATTACAGACACATGCCACCATGTCCAGATTCACTTAACATTATTTTATGAGCATTCTCCAGCCATTAAGTAGTCTCTGGGAGCACTGTTGGAGTCATGCGACCGGGCCAGCCCCGAGTGCACTGCAGCCCCCACTGTGGCTGACTTGGACCCCAGGGGCAGCAGTGTGGCCCTAGCCCATGTGGGTCTCTAAGTGGAGGTGACTTCTGGCAAGTTTACAACACAAAATAGCCTTTTTGTGTCAGCTTTCTATCACTATACCACACCTGAGACAGACAACTTTCACACTGTCAGAGGCTTCTTGGGCCTGTGGCAAGACAGCATGTGATGGCAGGAGCATGTGGTGGAAGAAGTTGCTTACCTCATGGTAGCTGGAAAGTGAAGAGAAGAAGAGCAGGAGCCAAGATCCAGTGTCTCCTTCAAGGGCACCCCCAGCAACCTAACTTCTTCCCACTAGGCCCTGCCTCCTAAAGGCTCCACTCCCTCCCAGTCGTGTCACAGGCTGGAGGACAGGTCTGCACATACCAGCCTTTGAGGGGCTATTCAAGATGCAAACTGTAGTTCTTTTGATTTGCAAGATGGCTGCACTCTTATAAATTTCAAGGTCTATTAAAAATACCTTCTGTCTTCTGAAATGAGACTGTAGACTTGGGGAATGGTACAGATCTTTGCCAAACCCAACATTGAAGGTCGTGTAGGACAGGAGGCCATGCTCCTCCCTGACTGCCCCGCAGTTACAGGCTGGTCTCATCCCTGCCATGACCCACAGATGTTAGAAAGGCCTCTCAGGCAGCCCAGAGTGATTGCGTGAAGCAGCTTCCAAGGGTGTGATGCTAACTGGGTGCCTCTCCTCCTGTGTCCTCTCTTCCAGAAGACACTCAGGCCACCAGGATGCTGTCCTGGCTGCAGTGGGGCAATGAGCAAGAACACACGTTGCATGAATCATGGGACTCCCTCAGTGCTTTCAACCGCTCCCACCGGGGCCGCATCTCCACCCTAGAGCCTCAGAGAGACATCTTGGATGAGTTCTTGAAGCAGCAAAGGGGCGGCTGGTTCGAGGACTCACCAGCCCCCTGGAGGGAGGAGCCCTCGAAAGGACAGGGAAGCACCTCCATGGAGGCAGATGATGACAGCGACTTTAAAATCCCTGTCCTGCCTTATGGACAGCACTTGGTCATTGACATCAAGTCCACATGGGGGGACAGGCACTATGTCGGCCTTAACGGCATAGAGATCTTCAGTTCCACTGGGGAGCCAGTGAAGATTTCCAGCATTACAGCAGATCCCCCTGACATCAATATTTTACCAGCTTATGGGAAAGACCCCCGTGTGGTCTCCAACCTTATTGATGGGGTAAACAGGACCCAGGATGATATGCACGTGTGGCTGGCCCCCTTCACACCAGGCATGGCCCATTCCATCTCCATCGAATTTACACATCCTTGCCAAGTCGCCCTGATCAGAATTTGGAATTACAATAAGTCTCGGATACACTCCTTCCGTGGTGTAAAGGACATCACCATGCTGTTGGACACACAGTGTATCTTTGAAGGTGAAATTGCCAAGGCATCAGGAACCCTGATGGGAGGTATAGTATACCTGTGGAAAATGTTCTAGAAGCCTTTGTTTGCTACTCTCTGAGGCATGGGGGGAAAACCCAAGAGCTAGCCCAGGATAGATAGGGCTTCTTCTTCATAGGACTGGTCTTCTCTCACTTCTTCCAGTGTGAGCATGCCAGGGCTGGTCTCCTGCCACTCTCCACTAAGTGCCTGTCTAGGGTCCTGGATCCTGAACCTGAGAAGGGGCTTTTTCTGCAAGTCTAGGCAGTTGAGGGGTGTGAGAATACAGTTCCAAGGGAAGTCTAGCCTCAGCCCAACTCCATGGAGTTCCAAGTCATGAGTCACAGGGTCTTTCTTACCTTAAGGCAAAGGGGTAGGGCTTTGGGAGCCCAGGAGCAGCCAGTCACTAGAGCCCAGCTCCCCATGTTGGGAGCAAAACACCCACATCTGCCAGGTAAGGTGTTACATAAAAGGGTCAGCAGGAAGCCAGGCTAGGCCATACACACCCATGATCCCCAGCACAGGAGAGGCTGAGGCAGGAAATGGGAACTTGTATGGATGAATGATAAAGTCATCCTTGAGACTTAGCTCTCTCATACTATTTGAAATCCTCCTGGGCTAGTAAGACCCTAACTTAAATAAGTTGGGCCTGGTAAGCCTGAAATCCTGGCTACATAGAAGGCTGAGGCAGGAGGGTCATGAGTTTGGGGCCAGCCTGGGCTATAGAATGAATCCAAGGATAGCCTGGGCATCTTAGCAAGACCATCTCAAAAATTAAAGGCAAGGGGAGTCTATGACTGTAGCTTAGTTGTTGAACTCTTATGTAGCATGTGTGAGACCCTGTGGTCCATCCCCAGTGCTGCAAAAATGAAAAACAAAAACAGGCTCAGGGATCTGGTTTGGCACCCAGGATCCCACCCACACCAAGTATATGATACTTGTTTGGTGAGAGATGGTAAGGATTCTCATTCCATGAGGTCTCACCAGTAGATCTTGTGGCTGTCAACTTGATAGAGTAAGTTTCTGAAATGTAGAATTAAACCACTGGCTCATATCAGCGACTGTCAGCTGCTTGGGGTCTTCTAGTATAGAGACTGGGACAGGTTCTAAAGGCAGGCCCACTGGGGCCTAAGGCCAGCTCAGCCTTCTGTCTTGGTGCTGTGCCCAGCCCCTGAGCACTTTGGAGACACCATACTGTTCACCACTGACGAGGACATCCTGGAGGCCATATTCTGCTTGGATGAAACGTTCGACATGGACATAGAGAGTCTGTGTGGACTGCAGCCCGAGGAGGCACTGAGGAGGCCCAGCACAGCTGACAGTGAGGACCAGGAGGAGAGGCCCTTCACACAGGCTGGCATGGGCACAGAGGACCAGGTAGGGCTATGTGGGCTGGGGAGCTCCCCTAAATGGAGTCCCTTTTGTTCTTGCTGTTGTTTGAGTCAGGGTCTCCCTTATCCTCCCAGGTGGTAGGGTGAGAGCCCCTAACTCAGGACAGAGAGGAGAGAATTAAGAAGGACATCCTTTAGACCTCAGGGGCTGCTGTCTTGACAGTCCTCATTTTCTACTTCCTTGTTTATTCTATATGTCATATTTCACTCTCAGTACCATTTAAAAAACCCACAATAAGCACAGCTGTGTTGCCTGATGGCATGTTATAACCCACACTCACCCAGTATAACCCTTGAGTAGGGACTGTTTGTCTTCCTGTGGAGGACACAATTAAGTGGCTCATCAAGGGTACCCTGTGAGTGTCAAGGCTAGAACCCGAGTGCATGACTCCAGCGGAAAAGAAAGACCTTCAAGCCTAGGGTGAGCCCATGCCAAGGACCAGAGATGAAAACCGAGGCCCCAGGGTCTCAGAGGAGGGTCTTGCCAATACAGGGACAGAGAGGTAGGAGAAGAAGATGGGGCAGAAACCCTAGGAGACAGGATGGGTCTTGGAAAGTTGTAAGGGAGGCAGGCAGCAGACATACAGACCACTTTCTCAGTGTGGCCGTGGCCTCCCTCCATGACCCTTTGTCTCCATTCTTTCCTGTCTCCTTCCTTTTCCCCTTTACTCCTTTTCTTCCTCCCCCTCCCATCCTACATTCCTTTCTTCCCTCCTCCAACCCTCTCACTCCCTAGGCATTATGAGCCCTTCTGTGTTTGAGAAAGTCTGAATACCCTGGTGGAACAGCACCCCTCAGCTGTCAGTAAGAGCTGCAGGCAGGGCCAGGTCCCAGGCTTCAGCCACCCATAAACCTCATCTCAGAAAGGCAGGGATCTACAGATTTCCTGGGCACAGGTGGGCACCAAATCTAGGAAATGGCCAGTTGTGTGGGTATTGCTGAAATCTCTCTTCTTCCCTCTGTTTCTCCCTAAACCACCCTGCAGGTACCAGGGCTAGTGCTGTCGCCCAATGTCCCTGTCTCTGAAGTCACCACACCGGAGCCGGGCATCTTCCATGGGCTGCGTGAGTCCCCTCCCCAGTCCCTAGCAGGGGCCTCTTTGCAGTCTGTGCTTGTAGAGGGGTGTGGTGGCATTTTGTACCCAATAAATCTGTGTGCTCACCGGGACTCTGCCCCAGGAGGCTATAGCTAAGACCTAAAAAATGGAGAATGGGAGGATTTGGGAGTCAGGCTTTGGGCCCAAGACTTCTGCAGGCACAGTGGGCAGAGCTGCTCTTGAGCTCTGAGGTAGCTTAGTACAGACACAAAGCAAAGTGGATGGGAAGCTGGAACAGGGCCCAGACCAGGTCCTCTGACTTCCCCCAAACCTATGATTTTATGTGAGCGCTTCAGATTCTTAAATGTTGGCTAATTTCATGTATTAAAACATATGAACCAGATCTGGGGAGATGGCTCAGCAGTTAAGAGCACTGGATACTCTTGCAGAGGACCCAGGTTCAGTTCCCAGTACCCACATAGTAGCTAACAACAGTCTGCAATTCCAGTTCCTAGGAATCTGACACTCTCTTCTAGCCTCTGGCAGGCATTGTATGACACAGATACACTTACAATACTTGCAGACAAAGTACTCATACACATAAAATAAAATAAAAAAACAGAAAAAAAAACCCAAAAACACATGAGCCAAAGAAAGCACATATTGCACCATGCCTGCAGCAGGCAGCCAGCTTAGCACCAGAGCAGACCCTATCTGGGCTCCTGTTCCTCTCTCCTTCCCCATTGTTGTCTCTTATAGGCAGTTCCTCTCTTAGTCTACTCACGCCTATGTCAGCCCCTCACCATCTAGGGAAGCTCCAGACCAACCGAGGTTACAACTGCCGGTGAGGTCGTCTCCTCCCTCCAGGGGCCTGTTAACAGGCTCTGGCTGTCAGCCCTGCTTCCTGCTCTTTCTTGCCCTGTGTTGTGTCACCTCCTTCCAGTTTATCTCCTGAAAACAACAGCTGCATCTCTGCTCCCCAGTCCTCTCAGGAAGCAGCCCCTTTCCTCTGTTCCTGCCCAGCCTACTCCTGCCCCTCCCTACCATCGCAAAGACAGAGCAGCTCTCTCAGCCCCTCCTGGGTCTGAGTGCCTCCCTCCACCTCTGTGCTTGCCTCATCCATCCGCCCTGAGTTTGGGTTCACTAAGGTAATCTCTGAGGGAGGATGACTAGGAGCCTCTTAGGACCTATATAATGGGGCAGGCAGGCCTGGACAAAGGACAGAGGTAGTTCATGGGTGGTCTTGTGACAACCCTAACAGTTAGAAAGTACAAAAGAAAAGCCGGGGTGTCCACTGGGAATATCCTGATTTGAGTGAAAACCGAGTCTTCATGCCCATGTCCCATGTTAACATAGACTGTCCCCAGGAGGGGCAATGGCCTTCTGTTGACACTCACCAGCCTAGTGAGTAAGTAGAGCTGTGGCCTTTGGCAATGGTTGAGGCAGTCTCCTGCCCTGGCCAAGGGGTCTGGGTGGTACTTGGTATGCACCACACCTCCTTCCCGCTTGCTCTCCTGAAGCCCTCCTCCCCAAAAGTCCTCCCCATTGTCCTCAGAGAGAAATCCTTCTGTCCCTTGTCTCTGAGGGACAAATGATCTCTTAGAAAGGAAGAAGTGACTTATTTTTAATCCTTACTGCCCTTTGCATTCCAAGCTACTCTAAATTACTCTAGTATAACAGACCAAAGAGCCATCATTCCCACATTTGAGAGGCAGAGGCAGGAAGACCTGAGTTCAAGGCCAGCCTGTGCTCTTTAGGAGATCCTGTCTCAGTCAATGAATGAATGAGTGCATGAATGAATGAATGGCTAGGGAGATGGCTCAGTTGGTAAAGTACTTGGCATACAAGCTTGCCATGTACCCACATAAAAAGTCAAGCATGGAGGTACACACCTGTCATCCCAGTCCTGGGAAGATAGAGATAAGTGGATTCCTAGGGCTCCCTAGTCAGCCAGTCTGTTTTATTTGGTATGCCCCAGAACCCAGTGAGAGACTCTGTCTCAAAAACAAATTAAAAAAAAAACAAAACCAAAATCGAGGTAGATTGTGTCTGGCCTCCATGTGCGTGCACACACAGACACACACATACACACACATACACACACACACAAATACACATGAACATTTGCATACACTCAAAAATGAATAAATAGCCAACCAATGTTAGGTGAGAACCTGACCTGGGGCAAATTTCATCTCCCTGAGAGGCAGAGCTGGGCCTTCCCTGCCTGACCTCACTGAACCTTCCCAATTCTTAGCATCCATCATCATTTTCCACATCAGATTAGGCACCTGAGGCCCAGAGAGCCTGAGTAACCCTCCTGAAGTGACACAGCTAGCCCCAAAGCTGGGAATGGAAGGAAGGGTATCTGGCTCCAAAGTTTGATCCTTACATACTGCCACAGGCCTTGGGGCTCTGTGACACTCACTTAGTGAGTAAATATAGCTAAGAGGCTACCTTGCGATACAGGCCTCTGTAAGGTTCAGCATCCCCCTGTGAGGCTGCAAAGTCCCAGAGGACAGCAATCATTTCTTTTTAAATTTGCTTCCCTAGTGTTAGTCACCGTTTTTAAAAAAATGAACAATGGAAATTGAATTCAAGTGAATTCAGCAAAAAAGAGAATTGACTGGCTTTGCACCTGGAAAGTTAGGGGTCACTAGTTTCTCAGGCAGCTAGATACAGACAGGGAAATGACACCATGGAGACTGCTGAGTCTCCACCACTTTGCCCTGTTTGCCTCCTGCCTTCTCCATGGGATTGTGCACCAGGGGCTCACAGGCATGCTGTGTTCACATCCACCCTCGACTCACAACCTCAGAGCATGCACCACCTCTGTTGCCTACCACTGGATCCAACAGCTGCCCCAGAATTACATCTCTGGATCCAACCTAGGTCTCAAGCCTAGTAAGGTCCACTATGGTAGGGTGGGAGGAACAGGACCTCTCCCCAGAAGAGAAGGAAGCAGGTGAGGGCACTAGCTGGCCCGAAGCAACCATTGTCCTGTGGACTGCTGTTTTCTCCTAGGGGCTGTTTATCAGTGTCCTTCCCTTGAACCAACCCACCCTTTCTCAGGGATGACATTGTGGTGGCCTGAGGGGTTGGCCCTGGAGTAGAACACTGTGACCTTTGACCTTTGCACCTGCCAGGAGAGCCTGCAGGCCTTTGACAACCCCCATTCCATCTTTTACCCACTCCAGCAACCTATGCAGGTGGAGAGAACTTTAATAAAGGGGCCTGGGGGTGCTGGTGGGTAAGCATAGATGATCCTATTCATGTTTTGGAAGGGAATATATGACTTGCTAATTTGCAGATGGTACTAATTTTGGAAGTTTTACAAATATCAGCCATGATGAATAGGGACAGAGCCAAGAGGACCAAAACATGAGAGAGAAATAACGAAATTAATTTCCATTTGTATAAATACTAATTGATGCACAGAGGAAAATGCATCTGGAATGTGGAGATCAGCTCACAGGAGACCAGTCACATCCAGATCAGATGGAACCTCGACACATCTTACCAGGCACACACAGGGACTGCAAGCTGCCTTGCCCTGCCCCTCCCGTCCCAGTCTACTTCATTGTATACACTCCCCACCCCACTAGGTCACCTGGGTCAACCTCTTCCCCTTCTTCTGTCCAAGCCATTGAGAGCTCAGGCTCTGTTACCTCCTAAACAACCCCAGATCTGCCCACTGCTGCCCACTCCCTCTACGACCACAACTGTTGAGGCCTTCCTCAGTGCCAGCATGTCTTCCTCATCTGGCTCCCTGTTCAGTCCTGCTGTGGGATGCTTTCCAAGATGCAGTGCAGCCTGTGCCTCTTCCCTGTGGATGTGACCCCCCGCCCCACGGTGGTGCACACCTGCAATCCCAGCACTCCAGAGGCTGAAGCAGGTGGACCACAAGATTGAGGCCAGCCCAGGCTGCAAAGGGAATCATGCAGCTTCCCATTACATCTTGAATATTCCAACTTCCACGTGGGATCAAGCCCCATCTCATTTTCTACCTCGTGTTCCTCTACTCTCTCTACTGCTTCCAGATGTGGGTTCAACTTGTTCTCTCAATCTAGAATATTCTTCTCCAGAAAGGCAAAAGTATGGCAGGCCTCTCCTCAGCATGCAGGCTGCAGCTCAGGCCTCCCTCTCAGCCACTCCATCCTAGTGCACCATGGCTCATGTGCTGTGGTCTGTACAGCTGTGGTACTTGGCTCTCACCAACGGTCTGCTGACTTCAGGGTGAGCACAGCTTACTGCATTAGTTCTGGCACCTCCAGTTCTAAAAGCACAGCTCACACATGGAGATGGTCAGTGAGCACTACGTTTACCATTCACCATGAACTGACCACCTACCTCCCTTTCTGTCAACCATGGGTTAATAAACAAAACTTGACTGAACATCTATTAGTCAGGCACTCCTCTTCTAGGCTCTGGAAGTAGAAGAGTCAGTCCTGGCCTTGGGGAGCCTCTGGAGAGACTAGTAGACATAAATAAGCAAATTAATGTAAGAAGACCTTGTCGCATGAAGAAAGCATGAGAGGCAAGAGCATGGGGGTGGGGTACTGTGTGAGCTCAGATTGTTAGCAAGCATCCCCAAGAGATGACATTTGAACATGGCCAGGAGGAGTGTGTCAGTCAGCTTTTGCTGTAGAACAGACCAACCCAAAATGGAGCAACTGAGTGCGGCACTCTGCATTGATGAGTGCTCATGATTCTGTGGTTTAACTGGCTAGTTCTGACCTGAGCCACTCAGGTATTCTTTACCAGGTCTTCTCATGTGTCTGAGCAGCCAGTGGGTAAACAAGCAGCTGCCTGCATGTCTAGCTGCTGGCCAGAGTCACAGGTGACTGACTGAGCTGGCCTGGCTCCAGCATAGGGCAGAAGGAAGAGGAGCCCTGTGCATAGTTCATTTGACATTTGCTCCTCGTCTACTGGCCAGAGCCAGTTACGTGGCCAGAATGCAGGGTGGAAGGCTGACCCACCTCTACATGGGGGAAGCAGCAAAGCCCCCAAGATGTTCAGACTGACCTTGGCACCATGGAGAGGAGGGCTGAGGGCTGAGTCACAAAGAGGATGCTGGGAAATCACAGGGCAGAAGACAAGATGTCACAGCCTGGTCCCCAGAGTGTTGTAGAAGCTTGCTGGACTCCCAGTTCCTCATCTGAGAAAAATGGCACCTCCTAACCCTAGGCTTCCTTTTTCCAGATCGATCATCCACACTGGCATTCCGTGGAAGCCCAAAGAGCTATCCTTCAGGGCTCAGATGCCAGCAGGGTGCTAAAATGGGCCAGGTTTCTCCAAGGATAGGAGAGCTTTGGGTTCAGCCCAGCTCTATTGGGAAGGAAGGAGGAATTCCAGCCAAATAATGTGACAGGGTGACAGCATGTGACCCAGAGACCTAGTAAGGGTGAGCTTTCTGGGCAATGGAGTGAGTCACCTGGCCTGTTTGCCCTAGGAGAGGGAAGTCGCCTCTAATGGTCTCTGATGGAGTGGGGTGAGAACTGAGGTGGAAGGATGGGGTCACCAGCAGCCCCTTCCTTTACCCTAAATCCAGTTGAGGGCTCATGGTAGGAACCAGTTTTTACACAGTCAAGTTCTGGATGTGAGGCTTTCTGGCATGATGCTTTATTCACTTAACCCCTACCACATGCCAAGCACTGTGCCAGTATCTGGGTACACAGTATTTTAGAAGGACAGGTGAGCTTTCTCTCCTAAGGAGTCAGCCACCTGGCAGAGCAGGTCAGGTTGGTATTTAGCAAGTGGTAGCAGCCAGGTTTGGAAGAGGAACCACAGAGACATGGCAGGCTGAGAATGGAGCACTGACCTGGCCTTGAGGCACAAGTTAGCCTGGCCTCCTAGTTCCAGACAGGGACCAGCAAGTGCAAAGATTCTGTGGTAGAAGAAAGGCATAAAAAAATGAACAACTGAAAGACCACCTGGGTTGAGCTAAGGGTCCCTGGTGCACAATGAGGCCTGGGGGAATCAGAAGCCAAGAGAGGAACACTTTGCTGCCAGACAGCATTGGGGCGCCAACTGGGTTCAAAGCATGGGGTGGTGTGACCCAGCCACGTGTGGGTTTCCCATTCAGCCTGCAGCATGTCCTGAACAGGCAGTGGCCTGGGCCTGAAGGCACCTGAGAAAGGAATAGCCAAGTTGAGTGTGGGTTCACGTGGGGAGGGTGGAGAGGCTGAAGAGCTACTCTCTTCCCATTTCCACCTTGCATTTCTGCTCCAGAGCCTCTTGGGGTAACAGGCTACTTTTCTTCCCCGCACAGGCCTCCGAATAAACTTCACTGCCTCCTGGGGGGACCTGCACTACTTAGGGCTCACTGGCCTGGAAGTAGTAGGCAAGGATGGCCAGGCCCTGCCCATCCTCCCACACCAGCTCTCTGCCTCCCCCAGGGACTTAAATGACCTGCCTGAGTATACCGATGACTCCCGGACCCTGGACAAGTAAGTGTTGGAAACTTGACTTTGGGCAGCCGGGGTCCAGGGGCCCACTCTGCACCCCAGGCTTCTGACAAACATCAAACTATATCCCATGTAGCCTTTGCCCCAGCACTGCCTGGGGAGGGCATGTGCTCACAGCTGAGGTGACCCTTCCCACAGGCCACACAGCTGAGGGGCAAACAGGATGCAAAGCCAGACTGGTGTGTCCGCAGATGCTGTGTGATGTACTTCCACTGGGCTCAGTGAGGGCCTTGCACAGCCATGGTCTGTAGGCTTTGGTGGTGACCAACTGCACTTTTCTCATGCGTGCCCCAGGCCTCTCCCCTCTGCAAGCTGGAGGGTGAGCGGCAAGGGGGTCTGTGCAAGCCACTGTGGCTGCCCTGCCTCCTGCACATACCAGATGCCGTAGCCAAGGCTGAATCAAGTCCATGAATGACAAGCTCTGCATTGTCCATCCACAGGGACCTGTCATGCATAGACTGGCACTTGACCCCCTGCTCTGGACAGCTTTAAATGTGAATGAGAAAAGACCAGGAAGTTTGGGGAATGAGAGTTCAAATCTTGCCTTTTCCATAAGTGTCTTAATGTCACCAATCGTAGCAGAAAAGACAGTTTAATAGCCCATAGTACAGATGCCGTTTTAGAGAGCTGAGTGCCAGGCACTGGGCTGTGTTAACCAAGTTACTGATGTCCATCCATAAAATCCACAAGCTTAGAATAAGAAGCATTATTATCACCCCTATGTACAGACAAGGAAGCTGAGATCAGAAAGTGTCTAAAGGCACCCAGGCCCGTTAAGTGGCAGTCATGATTTGAATACAAGCCATGCAGTGGTGCCCACCCAGGCACTTAACTGAAGAGTTAGGTTGCTCCTTTCCCTTGGTGTGCTTGTCAATAAATAGCAACAGCAATCTCCAATACTACAGGTTAGGAAGAGGGTGATTGCATTGTGGCTCTTGTCCTGGCTGGGTTCTGCTTGTCCTTTTCAGATGTCCTTTTGCTGTGGCCCTCATCCCCTGTTGGTACTGACTGCTTGGGGCCACCCCGGGCTCTGGGTCCTGGCAGGTCATCCCAAGGATCTGGACCTGAGCCTCAGAGCTGTTCCTGGCTGGCTACAGGAGGGACCCACACCCTACCATCACCCTGTCCATCCCCATCACCCACTCGCCATCCCAAAGATCATCTTCAAAGTCTCAAGCCTGTCCTTAGCCATCTTTAAACACTTCCATGTGTATCTCTAAGGACTTGAAAAGGGAAACATGACCTCAGCGTCTTCAGCACACTGAAATCTGTGGGCAGTGTAGCCTGAGCTGATAGAGGCTCCCCTAATGCTGTGCACTTGAGCTGTGCACCTGGGCTGTGCTAATGGCTAAGAGCCCCCTCAGACTTCCAGGGACCTCTAGGGTATTCCTTTCTCTGGTTTTCCCTTTCCTTTCCTTTCTTTTCTTTCTTCCCTTCTTTCCTTTTCTTCCCTTTCTTATTTTTCAGGGTAGAATACATAGTAATGGGTTTCGCCATGACAGCTTCGTGTGCATGCCACTATACTTCGTTCTCACACCACCCCTTCACACAGCCGTCCTCTGTGCCCCCTCCAGTAGGCTTCCTTTCTCCCCCAGCTAAGCCCCTTCCACTGTCCTGTCACAGCTGCCCATCATGCTCTCTTAAGATCTCTTCCTCCTCTAATGTTCTGCCTTCCAGTTTTTTTTTTTTAACTAGAAACACCCATGTACGTACACACACATAATTTTAAATTTAGGTTCTACATGTAAGAAAAAATATATTTGTCTGGGTCTGGCTTGCTTCACTTACAATAATGATTTCTAGTCCCATCCATTTCTCTGAAAATGCCATGATTGCATTTTTCTTTACGACTGCATAAAATTCTGTTGTGTTTGTGTGCCACGCTTCTTCATCCATTCTTCTGTGGCTGATCTAGGCTTGTTCTATTTCCTAACTACTGTGAAGAGTGCAGCGATGAACACAGATGTACATGTATCTCTTGAGATGTTGACTTGAGTGCTTTGGGTGCATGCCCAGGAGTGCACATCCTGGTCATAGGTAGCTCTATTTCCAGATTTTTGAGAAACCTCCACACTGATCTCTATAATAGCTGGACCAATTTACATTCCTAGCTGCAGTGAATTAGGCTCCCCTGCCATCCTCACCATCATTTGTGGTCATTTGTTTTCTTTTTCTTTTTTCTAGTTTGGTGAGCCAGTCAATTTGTTGGGGTCACTTACAGGATGCAGATGAGAGGTTATAACAGCATGGGTGACTCAGAGGCAGCTGCCTCATTCAGAAGACCCATTCCTCATTTGTTTTCTTGATAACTTGAGTAGGTCACTCTGATTGGGGTGAGATGGAATTTTGAAGCATGTTTAATTTGCATTTCCCTGATGGTTAAGGATGTTGGCTGGTTTTTCAAGTATTTATTGGCCATTTGTATTTCTATTTTGAGAGATATCTATTCATTTCATTAGCCCATTTAATGATTGGATGATTTGGGTTTTGGATATTTTTGTAGCTCTTTATATATCTTGGATATTAATCCCCTGAAGTCTAACTGGCAAAGATTTTTTCCCCCATTTTACAAGGTGTCTCTTCACTTTGATGACTTCCCTCCTCCTCCAACTTTGCCTCCCTTCTCCTCCTCCTCTTCCTCCCCAGGGTCTCTCTCTGTGTCCCAGCTGACTGCAAATTCAAGATCCTCCTGCCTTAGTCTTCGGAGTGCTGAGATTATAGGAGTGCCTCACCATGCACAGCCAGAGCCAGTCCAACTCTTTTGTTTTTTACCCTTGTTGATGATCTTGGACACTGGAAGCTCCCGAGTCTATTTTATCTGTTTATATTAGTTGTAAATGGTGCTGGGGATGGAAACCAGGACCTTTGGCATGGAGGGCAAGCAACTCTCCCTCTCTCTCTCCCTCTCTCTCTCTCTCTCTCTCTCTCTCTCTCTCTCTCACACACACACACACACACACACACACACACACACACACAGTGTCCTTTTCAGACCATCCTGTTTGGCATCCTCCTGGCCTGGTGCTACAGGGTGCCCAGGCTCTTCTTGTCTCTTGCTCCAACCTAGCTTCAATCATTTTCCTGTCAAATCGGTGTCCTGTTGGTAGTAAAGTATTTAGAGACGCCCCCCCCCCAATCCAGGCAGGAGGCTCATTGCTACTGGGTATCTCAAGGACAGAAGCCAGAGGTGATTACAGGAAGGTCCTTCCTTCACCACCAGCCCCTCTGCCATCCACTCTACATCCACTGTCCCAGACCCCTTCAGCAACCTTGCTGGGAGGCCAGTTTCCAAAACAGAGATAATTGCTTTGCAAGGAAACAGCAGTCTGCAGCCAGCTTTGCTCACAAACAGCAGGGTCGGGCTGCTGAATTTCCTTGGTTTTAACATGCCAGCAATTGTAAGACACACCATCCATCAATTTAATAACAGCCTTTTAGAGCGCAGGAGAGAGAAAGCTTTACCTCCATGGATGAACACTTAGATGGTAAGATTTATTCCAAACCCCAAACTTTCAAATGGAAAAGAAAAAAAGTTGATTTTAGATCTAGGAAATGTGGCTACAACCTGACCTGTTCACAGTACAGTGTCCCCAAGGTCGAGGTAAGGAAGGCTGCTTGTCTCTGGGGTTGGTTAGGTCTCCAAATAGCCATATCACACAGAGGAAAAGGATTGAGTCCTGGCAGAGGAGGCAGAGATAGATACTGGGGGGCTAGGTGACAGTTTTGGACAGCACCCAGGTCTCCCACCTCCTGGGTACAGCTTCCCTGAGCCACCCCCACCTGTGGCTCCTGAACAGGGCTGGCCTATCACATACCTAGGCCTCCTGTGCTTGGCCCTGTCTGGGTCTGCCAGGTTTCCCATTGCTTTCCAGCCTGTCTGCCTCACCTAGAGAGAAGGAGCACACTTAACTCAAAACAAGCCTACACTTCTTGCAGAATGTTTGGAAAACAGAGAAAAGGCCCACTTCATGCCCCAGTGCACCCCTCTGGGCTCTAGTGCCTGGGTCATGACCTCATTCCCAGAATCGCAATGGGTCCCTGCTGCCTGTAGCCTGCCTGTGACCGCCCATGGCCTGCCTGGCCACTCCACAACATCTTGCGTTTGTCACTTCTCCCATTAATCACTGTGTAGTGATGTGCCCATGTCACTGTGAGATTTTAGGTCTTCCAGGGTTCATACATCATAGCTTTGTGATGAGCTTGTTTCTACAGCCAGCCTTCCCCAAGTGCAGAGTAATCCTTAGCAGAAAAGTGCCCATGCTGGGGTCACCAGGCTGAGGGACTCCAAAGGGTGACACTTCACCTTGCCATGCCTGTTTTTTGTTTTGTTTTGTTTTGCTTTTTTATCTTTTTGAGACAGGGTCTCCCTGTAGCCCCAGCTGACCTGGAGCTCATTATGTAGACTAGGCTGGCCTTGAACTCAAGAGATTCGCCTGGCTCTGCCTCCCGGAGTGCTGGTATTAAAGGCGTGTGCCACCGGGCCCATGCCTGCTTTTAATGTATTTAAGTGTTGCCTAACTAACTTCACCACTCACCTGCAGGACAAGAGGTGGGTAGGCGTGGCCGCGGGATGGGTGTGGCTTTGATGGTGGGCCTGGCCTGCAGGTTAATCAATGGCATCAACATCACCATGGAAGATGAGCATATGTGGCTGGTCCCCTTCTCCCCTGGGCTGGAGCACGTGGTCATGATCTGCTTTGACAGAGCCCAAAGCATCGCTGGCCTGCGCTTCTGGAACTACAATAAATCTCCCGAGGACACCTACCGAGGGGTAAGCCAGGCCGTGTACAGTCCACTGTCAGGGAGGCGGTGTGATGAATGGCTGCTGTGGCTGTCGGAGAGGGCATAAATCCTCCAGAACCTTCCAAATGGAGGTGGGTGACATGCAGGGAGAAAGCAAGCTGCCCTTTCCTTTTGCACACAGCAGACACAGCCTATAGCCTAGGGCAGCCTGGGGAACTACAGAGCTTGTGTCTGGCACAGCCTGGTCTTGTAGTGTCAGCTCTGGGCCTGTTATCCACTGAGTACTGGGGAGGTGCTGGGGGGAAAGGCAGGGGTGGCTTGACAGACACCCACTGCCCAGAAGCCTTTGCAATTTGCTGGTAGATCCTGACAGCACAGCTGGAGTCCAGCCCGGACTAGGGTATATGTGGACCCAGCTAGCTCCCAGTGAACACAGTTCCACTGGATTCCAGCCCTCAGAGTGACAGAAGGACCAGGTGGGTCTCTGCCATGGAGAGAGACCCAGAACATGGCTATTCCCAGAAAGGACGTGCTAAGTGCTAAGAGTAGGAGAATAGGGAAGCCCCCACTGGCGTGCCCTTTTCACAGAAGGGAGGGAAGTAGGGAAAGATAATTGTACAGTACTGGCAGTGGAGGTCCTGCTCCTGAGCCAGTGCCCTTGACCATCTCACCATATCACTGCCACTGTTGCATGGAGGTCCCCTGAAACATGCATGAGGACCGTGACCATGAATGAGTATCCTCTAGGCAGGGACATCACCCCAGGTGTTAGATCCTGTGTCCAGCCCCAGCATCATACCTGGAGTTGAACAGGGCTGTCACTGGAATTCAGGCTGGCTGCTCTCTTTGGCCTCAGGCAGGCTGTGTTTCATTTACTAGGTCAAAATCGCCCATGTGTCTCTGGATGGCCTGTGTGTGTCTCCTGCAGAAGGCTTCCTCATCAGGAAGGGGCCTGGCAACTGCCACTTTGATTTTGCTCAAGAAATCCTCTTTGGAGACTACCTGCAGACCCAGCTGCCACCAGCACCAGCCAGGAGGTGAGGAGTACAGGCTGGCTTCCAGTGTCCTCTGATGTGTCTACAGGGCTGGGGCTGCCGTCCAGTAGGTGGCTTTTTCACCTTGGCCTTGTCTAAGCTCCTGGAAGCTGTGGATACTTCCAGTCTGGGGAGCTTGCTGTTTTAAATGCCTTCTGCTGCAAAAGAGACTCCAGCCTGCCTCCTTCCAGAAGCTTGCTGGCTAATTGGCCTGGCTCTTGTTTCCCAGCTCTGATCTAAAAAGAAAAGCAAATAAGAAGCACTCATTTGATGGGTTTGCTTGGGATGGGCTGACCCTGGTCTCTGACATCAAGTTTATAACAATTTTTAAATGCTGCCTTTGCTTTACCCATTTATAGCCCCCATTGTCCAAATACCAGAAGCTGTACTTGGAAACATAATGACCCCTTTTTCCCCCAAGAAACCGAGTTGTAGCAGTGCCCTTGACATTGGAGAACCCAGGGTAGTGCTAGAGGGAGGCTGGTGAGGAAAAGAGTAGAGTGCTGTCCCTCCTGGGGCCACTATGCGTCCGTGCTTTGAAGTCTACACAGTGAAGTAGGGATTGTATGCCCATTTCATAGTAGTGGGAACCAAGGTGTGGGCTGGAGATCATGAAGCCACAGTGCTCAGGATTTCCCCTCAGCCCCCTTTTCTCTCTTCCCTCTTCCTTTCCTGCCCATATTCTGGGGTCTTTGCTGTGCTGATGCTCTGCCCAGAAGGCTTGGGCCTGACTTCTGTGAGAGGCCTCCTTGGACCTTGGCCAACCCAGGTGGCCCACCCCCACCCTGTCACCCCACCCAACTCATAGTGTCACACAGTTCTCAGCATAGCAGGCTCTGCTTGTCCAGAGGAGGCAGGGGTGTGGTCAAGAGGGTGGTTTGGGACTTGTGTCCTGAGCACATCCCACTCAGCCACCTTCCAGCTCTTGCCTGTCACAAGTGCTGTCACATCTACTGTCACAAGACAGATGTGTCTCTGTCTCTAAGCTGTTCTGAGGTTTGCAAGAGTTTGTAACAGAGACGATCTCTTCCCCACTCCTGCTTGCCATGATAGTGGCAGGTTCTCCTTTGGGAGACGTGGAGCTCATGCACAGGCAGGGGTCACTGAGCTGCCATGTTCCTTTGAGTCCATGGCTGGGGAGTGACTGTTGGTGGCCCTGGAACTGATGGGCTCACTGTTTCTCTCTCTTTCCAGACTTGATGCAAAGAGCCTGGAGCGAGCCAGCATGGATTATGAGGCCCCACTCATGCCCTGTGGCTGTATCCTTCTCCTATCCAGCACACAGCCAAATTGGCCTCAGCTACCCCATATTCCAAGCAGCCAGAGCCAGATGACCAAAGTACCACACAGGGAAACTGAGGCAAGGGAATGTATTGCTGGGACACAGTGGTAGCACTGGTCCCTACCTGTCTCCTGAAAGACTGGGGTTGTGGAGGTAGCAGAGGATCCAGCTGGGAGAGCCTAGAGAAGAGATAGGTAACCTAGGGACCCAGGGCCTTGGGGGAGGCAGGGACAGAGGCAACAGGAGCCCCTTCTTCCCGGTGTGACTTCATTGCATGGACATTACTAGCTGAAGCTGCCCCTTGCATGTTTACCTCTGTGAACTTGAAACACTCAAAGAAGGGAAGAGGTGTCCTGTTCTTATCATTTCATAACCCAGGAAACTGAGGCACAAGACAGGAGTGACCCATTCAGCGCTGTCTGTCCAGGGACTGTCCCCTCCCAGACCTGGAGGTAGATGATATAGCAAATGTGACTCTGCTCAATATGACAGGCATTCCTCTCTGAGAGAGAGAGAGACTCTCTTTAATGGACCTAAACAAAAAGAAACCTGTTACCTCTGCCACTGTTCTGCTTCGTTCACCAGAAAATGAAGCCTCTTCCTTAATCACAGCCACAGTCATCTTCCAGTTCCAGCTACTGTCCAGCTGGGGTGACCCCTACTATATTGGTCTCACAGGCCTGGAGCTGTATGACCAACATGGGGAGAGGATCCACCTGTCCCACAACAGTATCCTTTCCACAAAACACCAGAGCCAAGGTAGAAGATGTAACAGGGAGCTGGGTGCAGGATCCCAAGCCTATAATCCCAGCACTCAAAAGGTGGAGACAGGACAGTCACTGCCTGTGTGAGGCCAGCATGGGTTTATAGCAATTCTGAGGGCAGCCTGAGCTACATAGCACGACCCTGTTTCAAAAGACCAGATGATAATGATGTGATGATGGTGATGGTGGTGATGGATATGATAGTGATAGGGCTGATAGTGATGGGGGTAATAGTGATGGGGATAATAGTGATAGAGATGATAGTGATGGGGATGATAGTGTTGGAGATGATAGTGATGGGGATGATAGTGTTGGAGATGATAGTGATGAGGATGATAGTGTTGGAAAAAGGTGGAGACAGGACAGTCACTGCCTGTGTGAGGCCAGCATGGGTTTATAGCAATTCTGAGGGCAGCCTGAGCTACATAGCACGACCCTGTTTCAAAAGACCAGATGATAATGATGTGATGATGGTGATGGTGGTGATGGATATGATAGTGATAGGGCTGATAGTGATGGGGGTAATAGTGATGGGGATAATAGTGATAGAGATGATAGTGATGGGGATGATAGTGTTGGAGATGATAGTGATAGAGGTATGCTGATGGGATGATAGTGATGGAGATGATAGTGATGGGGATGACATTGATAGGGTGATAGTGATAGGGTGAGAGTGATGATTTTGATGGTGGTGGTGACAATGGTCATAATGGTCATGATGTGGTAATCATGGTGATGATGATGATGATGATAGTGATGATGGTGACCATAATGCTGCTACTGATGGTGATGCTGCTGAGGATGATGACGATGGTGATATGATGATGATGATACTGATGGTGATGATGTTCGATAGAATGCCACTGGATCCTTAGAGCAGCTCCTAGCCACACTTGCCAACAACACCATAGCAGGTTCTTTGCAGAGTTCAGTAGTTATGAGGATGGGAGGCACCACCAGGCACAGCCCCCTCTCAGAGGACACAGGCATCTGGAGTTCTAAAGGCTCTAACAAAGGGAGAATTCTCAGTAGGTAATGAGTTCATCAACTGGGGTACCCTTTGCTCATGGTGTGCCCATGCTAGAGCTTGTTAGTTAGCCCACTGGGTTCTGACATTTTAATTCAGTGACTGCTGTGTCCTGAGCCTAAAATACAATGCCAGGTTCAGGAACTTCTCTTGAGATGTGGCAGCACAAGGCCCTGGGTCATGTGGAGAGACAATGACCAAACCAAAGTCTCTAAGTAGTTCCTTCCATTTACCTCAGTGCCCACTCTGTGGAGCTCTTGTTATCTCAGCCCCACAAAACCTAATGCTTACTGAGGGCTCCTTCTGTGCCCAGGCGTTGTGCCAGCATATACCCCTGCAGTAATCCTGTGAAAAAGTATCCTGGAATCCCCATTTTCCAGAGGAGGAACTTGAAACAGAGGTTGAGTAACAGCCCGACTCAAGGTCTGACCTCTCCTGCCTGCCTTTTATGTCACCTCTTTATTCCTCAGCATTCTTGAGTCTGTGATACCTGGTCCTCCAATTAGGGAAATGCCAGCACAGCCCCAAAGCTTTCCCTGTGTCTGCCTGGGGGTCTTGGGGGCCAATGGGCCCGTTTTCTTCCTCCTCACTGGGTGAATGGATCCATAAGTCTCCAGTGACATCACCAAGAGAGTGGTCTGGGATTCTCATGCCCATCTTGGGTTATAAAAGTTTTATGCTCACGTTACAAGTGAGGGGACAGACTCAGTGATGTCTAGCATCTTGCCTGAGCTCTCTTGGGTCACAATGACAGAGCTAGACTCAAGATTATGCACATGTGTCTTGAAGCCCCTGAGCAGCCCCAGCTGGGCCAGGGCAGTAGACCTGGCATGGTTGTTACCTGCCAAGGCCAGCTTCCCTGTCCCCTGTTGCAAAGGAGTGGTACTATGCTTCTGGAAACCTCTTGTTTCCAGCTAACCCTGCTGTGGCCCCCTGACTTTGTACTTGACCCCCTCAGCCCTCCACATACAGGCCCCCTTCCCTCAGCTACACTCCCATTTTCCCAGAATGCATCTGACTTAGCTGTCACTTCTCAGCCTGCCAAAGCAGCAGGGCACAGCCCAGTATCTTAGGCCCAGTGTTGTCAGCCTGACATGGCCATCACCTGATGGCTGTCCTGAGGTGGCTGTCACCCAATGGCCACCAAGGAGATATCACATTGTATGCAGTAGATGAGTTTGGGTTACAACCACTTAACGTGCACCTCAGATATTGCTGCCTTCCCTGACAGTGTGAATGCCCTGGATGGTGTGTGTGGGGACGTGCGAACTCCGGACAAGCTTATCGACCAAGTTAATGACACCAGTGATGGCAGGCACATGTGGCTGGCCCCCATCCTGCCTGGCCTGGTGGGTGCCTGGCCCTGGGGGTGGGGGAGCATCTACTCCTAAGCCTAGTGACAATGGGATCCTTGGGAACCATCAGAGAGGCACAGGCCTTGCTAATAGTCCTGGGCCTGGTCCCTGTAGGCCTGCAGTTCCTTCTTTTAACTCTGAGGGTGCTACCAAAAGGGACACCAGGTGGGTGAGGGGCCTTAGGGAAGCTGATGTCAGGAGCCTGGATGCAGCTACTGAAGGGCAGGAACCCACTGGCCATGTGCCTCTCACTGCCTCATTCTATCCAGGTCATCAACAGTCCATTCTTCCCTAGCATCCTGCCCCTGTTTGTTCCCCTCTTCTTCCGCTGTTTCTGCTCCTTCCTTGTCACCACCTGTGGCCACTATGTGGCCACCCAGCCCTCCCTCTGGCCTGTCAGCCAGGTGAGCCCTTCTGACCACTGCCTCCCTTTCCTGACTCTCAAACCTACACGGGTGACTGCTCCATCATGGAGAGGCCCAGGAGGGGATATGGGCAACTAGCACCCTCCACCTCACCTCAGGGCCAGGGCCTGCAGCAGTGCATGGTAGAGTCTGGGGTCCCTTTCCCACCACTGTGACTGAGTAGAAGATGGACATTTTCCTCTCTAAGTAGGTGACAGCACTTCCCAAAGCCACAATGCCAAGCCAGGACTAGCCCTGTGGCTCTTAGACCATGGCCAAAAGTTGATCGTCAGCATATGTCCACTGCCCTCATCTGGCCCCTGTCTCTCTTCCAGAAGGAATTAAAGGTTTGAACTGGAGGACCCCAGGCATGACACCCGTCTCCTGGGCCATCACCCAGCCCTTAGTTTCTGGTTTTTTTGTTTGTTTGTTTGTTTGGGGTTTTGGGGGGAATTTTTGAGACAGAATCTCCCTGTATCCCCCAGCTGGCCTAGCACTCACTATGTAGACCAGGCTGGCTTCGATCTCACAGAGATCTACCTGCCTCTGCCTCTCAAGTGCTGGCCCTAAAGGTGTGTGCCACCACACCCAACTTCCTTAATTCTTTATTTGGCTTGTAAGGGGTCCCCTAGTTTTGAGGGGATGTTGGCCTGTTGCACTGGCTCATGTCCAGCTGGTCTGGTGATAGTCACTGGCTCCTAGGTCAAGCCCAGAGACGGTCCCCACCTGCTTACAATTCTCTCCCAGTATTTAAATGATGTCCACAGCAGGCTCTCCCAGAGCCAACTCAGCAGTTTGTTGCAAATGCAACTACACGTGACCTGACTCAAGATGGGCTCTAAGAAGAGAGGACTTAGAACCCTCAGCTTCCCACATGGCTACCACTGGCACCTGGGGCTTGGCTCCTGCACCATGCTCTGGCCCAGTCCCACTGCCTGTTTTCAAACACACCTGCTTTAATTGACTCTTCTCTCTAACAGGTGAACAGGGTCTATGTCATTTTTGATCTGCCCACCACTGTGTCAATGATCAAACTGTGGAATTATGCAAAAACACCCCACCGTGGGGTAAAGGAGTTTGGCGTAAGTCCTTACTAGTTGGATGTAGGAGATAATTATGCTCATTGGTAATTAGGCTGCCAGCAATTACCATGTGTCACAGTTTGGTCTACATCCCCCAGTGACAACCTTGGAAATGCCTAGTCTTCAGAGGCAGGCAAATCTACCACAAGCCATGAATTCAGATGCAAGCCCAAGACATGACTTGCTTTTGGGGCTCCCTCTAAAATCACACAGCCTTCGGGGAGGGTGACAAGGTAACCAAGTGGGGAGGCAGGAGCCCTGGGGGCCCCTGGAGCCTCAGCCTCCACATCTGCGGCCCGGGTACCTTTCATGCTGGCTGGAAGTAGAACCTATAGTCCATGTGGATCTTCAAAGAAGCCTGGGCGAGGCAGCAGAAGGGTGTTGGGGTGAGTGTGGGAGGAGGAGAGGACTCACAGCCCCTTCTCTCCCTGCTTAGCTGCTGGTGGATGACTTGCTGGTGTACAATGGCATCTTGGCCATGGTGGGCCACCTGGTCGGTGGTATCCTGCCCACATGTGAGCCCACTGTGCCCCACCACACCATCCTCTTCGCTGAGGACACCGACTTCTGTCACCAGGAGAGGCACACCAACGTCAGGTATATCCCTGGCCGGCCCTAATGAGGATGGATGGCAGGGACATGGCCTGGGAGGCTGATAGACTTTCTGTCTTCCTCTCCTGCAGTAAGCCAGCAGAAGACCAGGACATACAGATGATGAATGAAAACCAGGTCATTACCACTGCGAGGAGGAAGCCAGGCGCTGCTGACCCAGGTGAGTGGCACTTCCCTGCCCTGAGCATCCCTGTCAGAAGTTTAGTCTGGGTGGAGAAGCAGGCAGCAAGCATGTACTGCTCCACAGTCTGTCCAACACCCTCCCTCTACCTGGGAGTTGTAACACAGCAACAAGCAGCCTCTTGCCATAGGCCTCCCCTGTGGACAAGGAAGGGCAAGGGCACTGTGGGAAACCAGGAGAGGATGCCAAGGCAAGGGATACCTAGGGCAAAGGCCTAAATAATGCCATGTGTGCCTAGGAACATGGGCGAAGACCTTGGGGATGGCATAGCAGAGCCTACTCTGCACGGGACAGGTCAGCTGCAGGGTACCCAGAACTCAGGCTGTTGGAACAGCAGGTGGTGACTGGGCACTGAGGTATCCCCAGGATGTGGGTACCCTCAAGAGCCATGTAACTCCTCCTGTACTCTGCTTCTACAGCCTTACGCCCCAAAACCTGCATAAGCGAGAAGGAGACAGCAAGGCACTGGCGATACTGACTGAAGCAGGAGGGAGAGTCGCTCCTCTGGGCCAGCAAGGCTCTGTCACCAGTCTTGTGTGGCACCTGTGTCCCTCGGACTTCAGGGTTGGCCAACTTAGACCCCAAGGAAACCTCAGCGTGGAAGGACAAGGGACTTGGATGACAGCCCTAGGAGCTACAGGGGTCAGATGAAAGGGGACAGGAACGGAGTGGAACCCCTGCTGCAATGGGCTGACTGCTGGGAGCCAGAGACACTTTGTACTCTGTGCCTCTCCTGTGCCATCCAGAAGAGCAGGACTGTGATGCCCCAGGCCTGGATGGGCCTGACTCTAGGCCAGAGCTGGGCCAGACAGGGCAGGAGACTCGGCTTGAGCCCCAGCAATGAGCATGAGGCCCACACCCCTGACTGCACTGCCCTACTCACCTGGACAGCTGAGCTGCTTAGGGGCCCTCTGTTCCCCTCATCTATGCAGTGCCCCTAGAGGCCCTGAGTGAAGAGGAGCTCCTCAGTGTAGATAGTCCAGAGTGGCCTCTGTCTCCTGGCCAAGCTGGACTCAGGATGGACCAGAGGTGTGTGTCCTGCGGAGAAGGAGTGAGTTGGACTGGCTGCTCTCCTCCCATGTGACCCCCTCCTTTCCCTCCCTGTCCCCCACCCCAAAGTCAGAGTGGGAAGGGAGAGGCCCAGGATGGACCCTTCTCCCTGCAGCCTGGCTACAAGAAGCCCAGATGCCTGTATTTTCATCCATGTAACAAGCTCAGATCAGGGACCTAATCGGTCTCCTAGTAGTGGGTAATTTCTGGTTCCAAATATTAATCTGTTGTTTTCCTGGCTTGGGGCCCAGTGTGCCACCGCAGCACTGAACTCAGTACGTTCCTATGCAACTAAGCACTGTGAGGGCTTCCAAGCAGCTGCCCAGCAGCTGTGCAGATGCATTCATTCAGAGTGGCTGATGTGCTGATAGGATTGCTTCTCTGGTGAGGATCCATCATTACTAGCCTCCAGGTCCCTCTGGCTCCCACATGGGCACACCAGGGCCTCTTGTTCCCAGGAGGGTGATCAGACCAGCTCCTAGGAGAAAACCATGACCACTGCTTCAACAAGAACTGGCTTGTACCCCACCCAGGGGTGGGCACAGGTGGATTTGCCTGGGATATCCACTTCTGTGGCCGTGGTGCCTGCTTGCTCCAGCAACCCCCGCTGCTGTTCATAATTGCGTGTTCTGTGCAGTCTCGGAGGGAAGGCAGTGGCACAGACATTAACTCTGAAATAAATGTCTATTTTTCTCTCTTGTGAAATCAATAAAAGATATTATTAAGAGTAGGGTGTGACACACTGGATGGGGTCTGCAGAAAGGAACCCTCCCTGGCTCCAACCCTGAGTCAGAGCCCATTTGAGGCTTGCTAAAAACTCAGGCAAGTGCTATGCTGAGCTGAGCTCCACAGTGACCTGCAGACGGGGCATGGCCTTGGCCTGCTTTCTCCATGGGCTCCTTATGCCACACCGTGTGAACAGACCAGGAGATGGTGCATACATAATGTTATTACATGTCTGGCACTAACTGTTCAGTCTACATTAAAAATAAAAGTATCTGAGGTACAGTGAGGCTGTATAACCTTCCTGATTCTAGAGCCCAGCGTGATGCCCTCATCCACTTCCTTTAGAAGAGGCGCTACTGGCCTAGGATCTGGATTCAGTTGCCCTTGGGCAGGAAGAGGAGACTAGCGGCTAAGTTCAGGCAACCTCACAGTTCCCTAGAAAGCTCCCCTGCCAACCCTCCATGGTACTGGTAAAGAGAGCAGGCTCTGTCCAGCAGAGCAGACCCTGAGAGAGCAAACTGCTCTCTTCTAGTTTCTAAGACCTTGCTTGACCCAGACCCTGGTGCTGGGAAGCAGTCCCCTGATTCCAGTAGGGGTGGGGCATGGGACAGGACAGCCCCATCTGAGGATGGAGCCAGCAAGGGCATCCACACCTTGCCAGCCCAGGCTCACATTAATCCAGGTGAGCAAGGTTGGGAGCAGAGCTGGCCTGCAGGACATCGTCCCCAGCACAGCCAGATGGTCCCAACATCTTCAGGGATTTTAAGATTTTATTTTATGTGCATTATTGTTTTCCCTGCATGTATGTCTGTACATGCACCATGTGCCTGCCTAGTGCCCACAGAGGGCATCAGATTCCCTGAACTGAACTTGCAACCAGTTGTAAGCTGCCATGTGGGTGTTAGGAACCAAATCCAGGGCCTCTACAAGAACAACAAGTGCTGTTAACCACTGAACCATCCCTCCAGCCCCCTTTAAAGATTTTCAAAAAATCAGACATTCAAGTTTTTATTTATTTTTGTGGTGCTGGGGATTGAACCCAGGGCACTGCTGGGCTGCATCTCTAGCCCCATATTTTATTTATAATGTAAAATCTACCTTTTCAATGTTGGTTCATTGAAAAAAAGCAAACTCACAATGTTTGCCAAATGTCACCCATGAGCAAGTGACTCAACTGGGTCTCAAGTCCCTCCACTGCTCTGTGGACATTGTACACCCCTGGACAGCTCCCAGCTACCTGTGCCAGGGCCTGTCATCTGAGAGCCGATGGTTTCTGCCCCTCAGCCACCAACCTGCTCTGATTCACATAGCATCAGTCAGTTGGTGGCCCTGTAGGTGACAGCCCTCATCTTGGCCCTCCTGGGGGCAACTGAGGACCTCCTCCCCCATATCCTGCAGCTGCACATGCTGAGTCCCACTACCCCCCACCCAGGGACCTATGGGACCCCATCCCCTCCCAGCAGCCTGTGGGACCATACTCTCCCACTTCGAATCCTGTGGGACCACACTGCAGTCCTCAGTGCCTGAGTCTGCCCATACCTGAAGGGGCACAAACAGAGCACCCAGAGCTCTGCCCCAAGAGTGTGTCCTATGTAGACCTATGTAGTCTGTCCAGGGTGGGATGACCTACCAGGGACTGGTGCTCCTGTCCAAGCAGGTGCACACGGCAGAAGGTCTACCTATGCGGGTGCCAGCATGGCCTGGGTCCCTCCCTACCCAGCCTCCCAGGGCACCAGGGTCAGGACACAGGGCACCAGGGTCAGGACAGACCTACATGAATGGGCATTTGGGGTCTGTCACTAGCTGCCTTCGCTCCCTCAGAATTCAGTTCCTACGTCCCACATGCCCGACCTGGTCTTTATCCCGGGCTCTCCAGATGTCCCCAGAACATATGGCCTCTTTGTTCTGCCAGCTTTCATGACCTTCACAGCCTAGAGAGGGAGGCAGGGAAAACCTGTGGAAGAGCAAGAGGAGACATGGGAACTATGACATGGTGAGGCCCCTGTGTGTATAGGCCTGTGTGTCCACAAGTACCCGGGACTGTCTCCCAAACTGCAGGCACTGGGATCCTGTGCTGCAGCGTGGCACTTTCAACACCATGTGCAGTCTCCAAGCCTCTCAGGAAACTGCTACACCCACAGCTCCCACACAGGGGTGTCACTCTTGACAGCCGAAATATTGGCAGCCAGCATGTTTGAAGCCTTCACCTTGACAGAGATGGGCACCGTCCGCAGTTGCAGGTATCCTGCGTGTTGCATGCTGCACAATGGCTCTGGAGCCAGCAGGCCTGGGTTCAAGTCCAGGCTTCACCCCTTCTCTAGCCTTCCACTCAAGACACCTTCTCCTGAGCATGCCTGGCTGTGGCCCGCTTACCTCCGAAGGGTCTAGGCCCTGCGGCACTCACTCTCCTACCCAGACTTGGGAACACAGAGGTATTACTTCCTGGAGTTAGCTCAGCATCCGGAGATGAGGCCTCAGGATGTGGTTCAATACGGTGCTGCCTTTTGGAGGCAGACACCCAGCTAACTGTTTCCTAGTGACAGCTGTTTCAGACTCAGGGCAGGAAGATAGGGACCTCAAGGCTGAATGCCACTGACTAGGACTCTTCCCAGGATAACAAGACACCCTCCTGCCTGCCCTCTCTCAGTTCTAGGATGCACTCAGCCTCAGCTGATTGGTCCATGGGCCATTGGCTGGACAGGGTACTGTCCCGCCCTACTCCTCCCCTACCCTGGGTGGGAGGGCTGTCCTCTGTCTACTGATTCTGAGACTTCACCCAGCCTGCTCTTCACCCAGCAGAGGGAAGGAAAGGGCACACCTTTGGGTGAGGGGCTTCCAGCTTGGCCTCTTCTAGCTTGGCCTCTTCCAGCCCAGCCCCTCTACTCCTCCTGGGGTCCCAGGCCCCCACCCTCTAGTCCCTGAGCCCAGTCATCAAGGGAAGCACCAGTAACAGCATCGGAGCAGGGTGAAGCGTGGCCTAAGAAGGACTGGCCCAGAAACCAGGAGCTGTTTGTCTGGGAACAGGCCCCATAGTGACTGGCTGGCTGTCCATGCTATGAATCCCCAGTGGTGGAGGCCGCCTTTTCCTCATGATGGTGGCTGAATTCTCCATAGTGGCCTGGGTGGGGCCCATCCAGCAGTTCAGGGGTGCTGAGAGTTTCCGAGCCCCAGGCCAAGACAGGGACAGAGTTCTGTCCAACTTCTCCCAGACCATCTAGAGACTGACTTCCTTGCGGGTGTGGGGCTTCCCTTTCCATCCCTCCCCTTGGGGCACCTTCTGAAGCCCCTCAAGGCCTTTCTGGTCTCTGGCATCTCCACCTGACCAGCATCACCAAGAACAAGCCTGCAGCCAGGCTAACTGCCAGCACCCCTCCCTCGAACCCTGCTCTAACTTCAGGCCTAAGGCACTGCCATTCCCCCAGGGCCTGTCCATCTTGTCCCCAGACCTACACAACCAACAAGAATCTCCAGTGCAGCAAGGGGCACCCATCCCACCTGTCCTAAAGTCCCCTTCAGTAACTCTAGGCAACCCTCATGAAGACCCTCATCCTTGCCATGGGCCCCGAGGTTCCGTGCTTAGACTCCAGAAGCCTGCTCAATGGCAAACTTGTCCTCACTGCACACCCCAAGCTCAGTCCTGCCACACTTGGTTCTGCCATTGCACTGTGTAGTCCACATGGGTGACTCAACCCCAGGGCCTTTGCATGTATCATGTGTGCAGCACACACTACCTCACTGTCTACTACCTTGCCCTCCAGCCAGGACTGAACTGGCTCCTCCTCATACAGGCCCCGAATCCCCCCTCCATGGTCTGGTGCCTGACACTCCTCACTCTTTATTGTCTAGGGTTACCTGGGTAATCAGCTCCTACACTGGTGTGTTCCTCCATCTTTTCCTACACTGGTGTGTTCCTCCATCTTTTCCTACACTGGTGTGTTCCTCTATCTTTTATGTTCCTGCAGCAGCTCCATGCACAGCTGTGGAATGTCACACAGTAACCCATTTTCAGATTGGGCAGGCAGCAGATCTGAACCAGGGCAGGATTTGCACCCAGGCCTGTCCAAGAGCATAGCAGGATGCCTGTGCAACCTCACTTCCTCTGAGATAGGTCTCTCCTGACAGACTTGTCCTTGGACCTGGTTGTACCACCAAAGGCACATGAATCAAGCTGAAGTTTCCATTACCCAAGAGATGAGTATGTGGCCAGAATGGGTGCTATAGTGGGAGTAGGGTGACTGCTCATCAAAGCCATCAACCAGGGAGGAAGTCAGTCGGCCCTGGCACTGAGGAGGTTGGGACCCATCCATCAGTCTTGATGGACCCTGGGTCCATCAACATGTGGGGGACAAGGGGTGATGTGGGCATGTGAGGAGAGGGCACTGCAGGTATGGGGAGGCACCAGGGAGCACAGAAGATTCCTGCAGGCATCAGGAGCATTGAGAAGCACTGCAGGCGCTATGCAAGGCTTGAGTCTGTGTATGGCATTCTGTCCAGGGCAAGCACAGCAATTATGAATTTGTGTATAATGTGCTCACTCAATTAGTGGGTGAGGCCCACTCAGTGCAGCCCAGCTTGGGTGCGTGCCCTTGGCCAAGGTCAACCTCTGATACTCAGCTGCACGTGTAACCCAGACCTGGGAAAGGTGATGGGGTGTACCAGTGAACGGTATGAGGACAGAGATGCTGAGCCCAGTGCACAGAGGACAGGGCTGTGGATCACACCACCAACTACCAGGTCACGTCTACTTAGCACTGGAGACAGCCAGCTGAGATGCTATTCACAAGAAGCGGGGGTCTTTGCTTCCTTTCCTGGCCTCTGTGTGGTGTGTGGTCCCTCTCAGCTTCCCCCGCCCCACCACCATGGCGTTTGCTTTTGCTTCTTGCATGAAGATGGCCCTCAAAGAAGTAACTCTCCATGACCCGGAGGATTACCACCTGGAAGTGCCTCCTTTTATCTGTCCAGCAGCCTTCCTGCTGTACTGGGAGACAGCTAGTTTCTGGGCCCTTCCCAAGAGCACCTGAAGCCTGATGGCCCCCTGCTCCTTCTCCCTTTCCTCCCTCTTGGCAGGCCACCCACACACCATAATCACAGGCCACTTGCATGATTATTTATTTAGTATTTTTCTTTAAGCCAACTCTCTTTTACCAAAACGTCTGTTGTGGTTCACCCTAAGCAACAGCGTGTGAATCTGGAGGACGGACATGTCCGGTACACGGTTTTCTAATACACATTTACATAAACACAACTATTAAAATAGATTAAGGTTTTGCTTATGTGTCAACTAATATCATTTCCTGGGCCTCCTGTGGCCCATGACCAACGTCACAAGGCTCCCACGTGACAAGAGTTCCAAGGTGCCTGGTGGCCCTGCCAGATTCCAGCTTTGCCTCTGCCCAGCCCCCCATCGCAATGGCTGATACACTTAATGCTGGAGTTCCCTGTGCTGGAGATCAGGGCTTCATAACTATGCAGGCCTGCCTGTTTCACCCTCCCCAGGTCCCCATACCAACTGTGTGGATTCAAAGAGTGAATGAGCTCTGCCCAGTCCCCAGGTGCCCTCCAGGCATGAGCAGGATGTCTCGTTCCCCTGTCCCCAAGTCTCTTTCCCCGATGGTCCCCTCTTCCAGTGCCCCCAAATTGGCCACCTGATCCTCAGGAGCCCCTTCCTCAGCCACATCCCCCTTCTTTCACTCGGAGCCCTGCAGGGCAGAGGAGTCCCACCTTGCTCTTCTGATCCAGCCCAGAGCTATGGTGTCTTCCTAGACTGGCCATCTCAGCATGATCCCTCTGCCCAGAGCACCCAAATAGGGCCCCTAACTAGGCTTTGAGTCTTCTCTCCAGCCTGAGCCACCCTTGCAGCTTCTCTTTTCTTCCACTCCTGTCATCTGGACCATTTTAAAGCTCTTTTGTGTCCTTTCTTTGCCCCCTACAGCCCGACAGCTTGACTTGGAAGTCCTCTTCCTAGCCTCCCCTGACCACCCTTCCTCCAGGCCCCCAGCATGTGCCGCCTGCAACCCACAGCCCTGACTCCTCTCACTGACATGATTGCAAATGCCACGGTGCTTTCCATGTGCCCAGATCAGCTCCCAGTGCCCACATGCACCAGCCTGTGTCGTCCTCCAGCAGCTGGAAGAGGCAGGTATGATGAAGACCCCATCTTCAGGATGAGGTCAGGGCACAGTCCAAGCTCCCAAGCCAAAGAGGCGGGACCTGACCACACCTGGACTTTACACACTGAACTGCCATCTACCATCTGTCTGCTCCCTCTGAAGGCTTCGATGTTTCACCTCCAGGGCCTACTGCAGTGCGTGGCACGTAGTAGGAGCACAATAGATGACACTTGTATCCAGACATGCACAGATGGATGGCTAGGTAATGAGGGTGGCTGATGCATGGAGGGATGATGGACAGATGGCTGACAAGAGGAATGGCAGTGATGGGCAGGTGATGGATGGGTGAATCATGGGTGAATGGACAGAGGATAGATGACATACTCAGGGGTAATGGATGGGTAAATGGGTGGATGGATTATAGATGGATGGGTAGGATGGATAGATGATAAGTGTCTGTATGTTGGCTAATAAATGAATGAGTGAATATCCATTCATGGATGGATGGATGGGTGGGTAGGTGGGAAGAATGGATGTTAGCTAAATGGATGAATGGACCATGTATTTGTGAGTGGGTGGGTAGATGATGGGTGGATGAATGCTGGATAAACGGATGGGTGGTGGGTGGATAGTGAAGGAGAACTTGCTCTGCCTCGCTCTGCCAATCTCTGGCAGTCCTTCAGGGCAGGAGAGGCCTCATGGGAGTCAGCCTGGTTCAGATTCACTCTCCTTCCTGCCAACTCTCCAGACCCTGGGACTCACATTCAAGGCAGGAATCCTTTCCCCAGGCACCTGAGCCAGAGGCTTCTGTAAAGCTGACCCTAGACCCAGGGTAAAAGCCACCAGGGCCAGAGTGGTGTTGTGTTGCTGAACTTCCAGGACACACGCTTTTTCAGCCCTAGCCTAGACCTGCTTCCAAAGCCCCATCTTACTATGCTCAGAACCCCAAACAGCTCTGCTCTGTCTCCGTCCTGCCCTTCCCCAGGGTGGGACGGGCTCCATCTCAACAATGGGTGTCTTGCCCTGACCTCAATGCACAAGGCATTTACCTCATGGTACGTACAGCACTCCATCTCAAAACTGGGTATCTGGCCCTGACCTCAATGCACAGGGCATGCACCTCCAGTGTAGAGTGCTGGTCGGGGCAGCCGGCCCATACACAGCAAGAGGACAGGTTCAACAAGCATTTATTGAGCCCCTGCTGTATGCCTGCTATGTGACTTCTGCAGAGCTGGCCAGTGCCCCTCTTTCAGGAAGCCCTCCACCCCACCTTGTCCCCACAGGGCCTTGCCTCTCTAGGCACCTGCTTGGCTCTGTGGGTGGTTGTGGGTGTCCAGCATTCAGAGGTCCTTCATGGCTTCCCAGCTGGATTGGGCTCCCAGTATAGTGGCAACTGCTGTTTCCAAGTCTCTGTGCATCCTGTGCAGTCCCTCAGGCCAGCCTGCCCCATCTCTGGGGCCCCAAGATCCAGACAGCAGTGGCAGGGCAGGCTTGGTATCTCTGTGGCAGGAGGGCTGGGTCCACAGCACACAGATGAGGCTTCCATGTCCTATGGGAGGGGTGAGGCCAGGGATGGCAGGAGGGCTAGGGCTGGGGTAGGTCTCCTCACACCCAGTGCCCTAGCACCCAGCACTGGCGGTTCAGCTCTGGTGCCTCATGAGCTGAGCTCCGTGGCCAGGAGTCTCCCATGTGTGGCTGGTGCCCTGCAAGAGACATGGTGGATACTGCTAAAAGCTGCCTTCCTCTATCCATGCCACCTGGGCCTCTGGCCCAGCCCCAGCTATCCTCCACCTGCTCCTGTCAACCCACCATGCCCTGCTATCCACCACCAGCCACCAGCACATCAAACCCCAGTCAGCTTGCTGCCATCTACTGACCAGCCCAACAATACCCCACCAGCCCAGTCATCTACGACTGAGTCACCCACAGCCCAATCACCCACCCACACCCCTCCCACCTGTCAGCCCCTACAACCCATCCATCCACTTCCTCTCCACTGCACACTCACATTTGTCTGTAATTTAGACATTGAGGCTCCAACGCTCAGACTCACCAGCACACCCATCAACAATCCACTGCTGTGTCTGCCTACCCACCCATGTACATGCCTTCCCACAGACTCAGCAGAGCTCAGGCTTAGCAGTACACCTCAGAGCACCCACATACGCCCTATCATCTAGTCCCTTCCCTCAGCTTTCCCTTTAAGCCTCTTCCAGCAGATTCCCTGAACCTCCATTTACCAATTACCCACCCAGCCAGCCCATGGGCCTGAAGACATCTCAGAAGGCTTATGGGTGAGAAGGTTTTGGCAGTGGGTGAATCCAAGTCCCTAGGCCTTGGGCCCCACCCCAATAGTGAACATGCATCAGTGAGCCCCAGCTGACTCAGTCCTCCCTGTTCACTGTCCTCATCCTCTACTTGCCACTGCTCTTAGAGGTATGGCAAGCCAAAGGGTGCAAGGCCCCACCCTTCCTCCTGTGCCATGCTTGGTTCTTGGATTTTCCCTGTCCTCCCCCAGCTGTCTCTTCAAAGTCTCTCTGATATGCCCAAACCATCCCTGTCACTTGCTGGGACCAGCCTCAAATGTCCTGGCCCTGTTGTCCAGGTAAGCACTCAGGACACAGCTCAAGTTGGTGCCCTAGAGGGATCCTGCCCTGATATCCTCACCTGCCTGTCAGACCCTCCATTTTATAGAGGAGGGGGCAGAACCCAGCATGGATCTGAAGCTGGGCCAGGACAGCAGCCATGTGGAGCTGGGCGGTCAACTGCTTCCTGATTCCAACCTCCCCCATCCCAGTCATTGTGTTTCCTACTCTGAGCTTCATTGCCTGAGACATCTTCAGAGGCAGACAGCTGTAGAATCTCACCAGGATGTGACTCCTAATGACGCTGAACTCTTGCTTGCATGCCTCCAAGGATGGCAGCTCACTGCTCCTCCATCCCTGAGCACCAGTTGTTAAGTGTTGTTTGTAACTCAGGCTGTGAGGGACGCCAAGGTGTGTGTAAATTCTTTCCTTTGGCTTTCCCTGCCTCTCTGTTCTTAATATTCTTTAATGTTAGTGTTTTGCAAATTAAATTTGCTGTATTTTTAAAGGAGTGAGAAACATTTTGCAAACATTCTGGAATCATTTGGCCTTGGGGGAAAACATTTGTTTTGGCCCCAGCTCATGAAACGGTTGCAGTCTTTGGAAGAGCTTGCTGCCAAGATAAAGGTGTTTGGGATTTTTTTTGTTTTAATGAGAAGCAAATATTTGGTGCATAGAAAGGTTTGATTGTTTTTCTAAATGAGTATTTAAAAATGATTGTTGCTGCTCTCACAGAAACCAGCAGGCAGAACTGTGACTGGGAACTGAGAGAGTATCATGTGGTTTTTCAAAGAAGGAACAGGAAGAATCCACCTCACTCCTGGAGTTAAAATGAGTCTTCTGACCAGGGGTCTACAGGCCACATCGAGGACTGAACTCTTGTTCCTTCTCTCGCCTCCTAGAAGGTGCTCAGGACCTTGAGCCATTGGGGATGTTTCCCATCCATGCCTCCCTCCCCCCTGGTTCTTCACTCTGGGGCTGTCATCAGTCAGAGAGGCCTCATGTTGGGATTCAGGAATCAGCCTACCATTGCTTCTAGGCCCAAGAACATCCCACAAATTGGTGACAGCAACAGAGGCAGCCTGCCTGCTCCAGCCAGTGTTACCAAAGGGAAGGATTCTGGATTCAGAGACACTGAAAATTCAGATTTCAAAATAAGACCACCTGGCTTTAAATGATGACAATTAAAGTGTTTAAAATATTTTCAGTCGGGCACGGTGATGCACGCCTTTAATCCCAGCACTCAGGAGGCAGAGGCAGGCGGATCTCTGTGAGTTCAAGGCAAACCTGGTCTACATAGTGAGTTCCAGGACAG